AAGGGACTACTGAGAAGGGATGTCCCTTTTACTCTACACATTTGTAGTGTCTGTACCTTAGACAACAAGAGCATATTCGTGTTTTATTTAGGCAATATAACAATTAACAAAATAGGGGCACCTGCGTGGCTCAGGCAGTTGAGCGTCTGCCTTAGGCTCAGGTCATGATTCCAGGACCCTGGGATGGAGCCTTGCATTGGTCTCCCAGCTGAGCAGGGAGCCTGCTTCTCCCTCTCCCCTACTCGTGATCTCTATAGCGCACACGCTCTCTCTCTCTCTCTCAAATAAATAAAATCTTTTTTAAAAATTAACAAAATGAAGCTCTTCAATCCACTTCCTCAGAGAAAACCACTTATTAACAATTTGTTATGTATTACAGATATTCTTCTTGAGTCATCAAGCAGATATATAATTTTTTAAAAAGTAAGTTAAGTGACAGGAATTGTTTCCAGAAAGATGGAACAGACATACTTTTCCCTATTCCTGCCCCTAAATATAACTAAAAATCCTGGATGTAACATATATAATAAGCAAAAGAAGATCCTGAAAGGTGGAGAAAAGCAGACTGGCTAGGGACCTCAGAACACACAGGACCATGTGGTTGTGGGCTCCCTGGTTTTCTTTTTATCTTATATAAGCCAAACTTAGAGCTGAAACAGTGTGTAACCCAGAAACACAAATGGGTGCAAACAAATAAACGCCCCAAAAGAAGCCTGCTCTTTCTAGCCAAATGAACAAGAAAGAAACTCCCTAGCAACACAGAAAACTTTTAGATAGTTGCTCTACTCCAGCCAAACACCACAGAAAACACTGTGGCCCCACCCACACCAGCAAAGACTTCCACCTACACCAGGTTGTAACAAGGCACCTCAACTGCCATAATCCCTCCAATGGATAAGCATCAGAGAAGTAGGTAGAGGTAGAGAGCCAGGACTTTTATCCCAGCCATGCAGGAATAGACTACCTCCACCAACCCAACCCCTCCCTAAGGTATCAGTGGAGACCAAGTGGGGAGCCATAACATGGCATTCTTATTCCCTCCCGCCAACCCCTCCAGCCAGGGACGCATCCATGGAGGTCTAGTGAGGAGCCAGAACTCTCTCCCCTCCTCAGGAATTTTGAGAAGCACCCTCTCAGGTGTCAGTCTACCCTCAGACGGTATTAAGAAGTTGGCACACATTCCCTCTCAGAAGCCAGGAGCCAAAATGCAAAGCTTAAAATGATCCATAGTCTCGTAATACTCAAAATGTTGAGGTTTCAATCAAAAATCACTCATACCAAGAACCAGAAAGACCAAAGCTGAATAAAAAAGACAACAAGTGGATGCCAACACCAAGAAGAAAGAGATACGATAATTCGGACAGATTTTAAAGCAGTCATTATAAAAATGCTTTAAATAAGCAACATAAGCGCACTTGAATGAAAAAGCAAAATCTCTCAGCAAACAGAAGATATAAGTAAGAACCAAAAGGAAATTTTAGAACTGAAAAACAGAATAACTAAAGAAATAACTTAATGAGATCATACTACACATTTTTGCTTTTTTCACTTAATATCTAATGAAAATCTAAGTCTCTCTGTATACATACATACATACAGTATTTTTTGTTAGCTGTAGTATTCCTCTGTATGAATTAACTATAAGTTAATCTTTGATTAATGGGCACTTACTTATACTGTTTATAATTCTTCATCATTATAAGTCATGCATATTTGCATAATTATGTCATTTTTACATGATTATCTGTCATAATTATCTATCATTTTTAGTAAATGACATCACTAAAAATAAGTGATAAGTGAAAGGGAATGCACAATTTAAATTTTCATACACAATGTCAAATAATCCTCCAGAAAAGCTATACCAAATACATTCCCACTGATAGTAAATGCTTGTATCTACTTTCTCACATCTTTGCCAACAATGGGTATTGGCTCAATGTTTTTCCTTGTTTTCTAATTTGAGAGATGTCATTGTTATTTTTATATACATTTCTTTATTACTAATATGATAAATACATTTTCACATATTTAAAAGCCAGAAATAGTCTTTCTTTTGAAAATTACCAGTGCAGGTCTTTTGTGAATTCTCACTGTTTATCTCACCACTATAAAAGAGCCCCTGTTATTTCACAAATATAAGCTGGTTGACCTACAAGGTACAAACATATTTTGAACCATTTTGTGTTTTTTAAGTTTGTTGATGCTTTAACTGGTTTAGGGTTCATTTTGACAAATCAAATTTAACCAAATCTAAGTCCTGTTCACTTAAAGTACAGAGACAACAAACTAAACCCTCAGTCCCAACTAGTTTTAGAGCCAAACAATCATAAAACCACCACTCTCACTACTGATCAGTGTCTAGAATTAGTCTTTCTGTTTTAATGAGGGAAGAAGAGAATGCTTGCATCCACTACTTACCTATATATTCAATTAACAACAGACTTCTCCAGTTTCCCCAAGGTCGTAATCCACTCTTTAATAATATTCCATTTCCCTACTGGGATTCCACTTCTACTTTAAACCCACGTTAATCTGGCTAAAAACTTGACAACCTACCATCCGGTCCTTTATTATATTAAAGGCTGGACCCTTCCCCACAGGCTTTCACTATTAATCTGGAACCCTACCTTGAAATAACCAAAACTGAAAATTACTAGACTGCCCCCTAACATGGGTCATTAGTATCATTACCTAGAGATTTCTGCTACCAGGTTCTACCCCGCTTTTGGAGACTGACCCATATTCACTAAGCTACCCTGGTATCATAATTTGGACAGCTAGTCAACTCCCTTGAGCTATTATTCAGCTGGGATCGAAAATGAAGCAAATGCATTACTCCTTTTTTTTCCTGGACATCTGTTCTCCCTGCTTACTTCTTTTCCTCCACCAACCAGTCACAGGTTCTGGCACACTTTATCATATGAGGCTGCCTGGTTTATGACAAGCAGCACTAACAACATCGTAAAAAATAAACACAATCACTGGAATTATAATTTCTGTGAAAGTCACATACATAAAATCATAATGAGAGAAAAACAGTTTAAAAGGATACCTTTTAATAATTTGAAAAATTAAAAAACACCTCTTTATCCATATATACCCTAATGTTATTCCAGTATTTCATAGAATAAAAAAAAACTGTCTATAATTTTTTTAACCAGACCACAAATGTTTATGAATGCTTGCCTTAACTACCAATGTATTAAAGAAAGACATGACATCAATAATCATAATTACAGTTATTAACGCTTAGGGCTAGATTATACTATTGAAATTTTTTATTTTCTTCAGCCCAACATTTTCAAGTCATAATTTATTACCTAATTTTACATGTTCCAGGATACTTCCATGCTAAAAAAGAATAGAATTTTTTAATTAAAAATGTCATGGCCTAGTCGGTTAAGCATCCAACTCTTGATTTTGGCTCAGGTCATGATCTCAGGGTTGTGAGACTGAGCCCTACAACAGGCTTGGCAATGGGCATGGAACCTGCCTAAAAGTCTCTCTCTCCCTCTCCCTTGCCCTGCCCTGCCTTTCTCTGGCCCCCTATAAAAAAACAAAGTCAGATCAATATCCAGAAAAATAACCATATGCATATGTGTGTGTGTGTGTGTGTGTGTGTGTGTGTGTATACATATATGCATATATATATATATATATACATATATGTATATATATATATATATATATCATACAGATATAGGTATCAAGTCAGGAAAGCCCAAACCCCTAGACAAAGAAATACAGCACAAGTTCATCTTCAATTTCTTAGCAATCTACAAACTAAACTCTATTGGAGTCAACTTTATAAAGTATCAAAATATTATCCTCCTGGATCAGGAAAAAATAGCTGGTAAGGATATGATTAGGTTAACTTAATGGATCTCAACCAGAGGCAGTTTTGCCCTCCAGGAAACATCTGGCAGGGTCTAGAGATATTTTTGGTTGTCACACTGTGGCAAGGAGGAAGGCCATAGCCTACTAGTATCCAGTGGCTAGAAGCTAGGCATGCCGCTAAGCATCCTATAACACACAGCAGTCCCCCCACAAGAATTATGTGCTCTATAACAGCTACAGTGATGATGCAGAGAAATCTGGAACAACTGATGAAATGTGAATATGGACTACACTGTATCAATGCTAAATTTCCTGAATCTGATTATTTTCATGTCGCTCTGTAAGAGAACAACTTTTTTTCTGGGAAATACATATCAAAGTATTCAGAAATAAAGGAACATGTCTCAACTTACCTGCAAATGGTTCAGAAAAAGATATGTCTATATGTATATATGCAGAGAGAAAGAATGAATGGTAAAGCAATGAGCCAAGTGCTAACAAATGGTGAATCTGAGTAAAGAATATACAGAAATGTTTATTATTTTTCTAACTTAAAATTATATCAAAATAAAAAGTTAAGTATTATCATGCCTGAAAATTTCTTTCAACTGGAAAACTTTATACAATTTCCCAGTATATATGTGTAATACAGCCAAGCAGATTTACTCCTTTCTCAAAATAAATTACATTATCTTGGATACTTGTAAATTTGGTCAAGAGAAGTAAGCATAAGCTGAAAAGTATTAATTTCTAAAATGTGAAGTGCCCAGAAAAACCTAGAAACATTGATGTGTCAAGGGTTAGCATTCTTTAGTATATTATATTATATCACAGTAAATGCATGGCCTAATACCCCTTGCACTATATATTTCAGGCTTTCAATACACACTGAAAACTGCAAACATTTTGAATCACGTAAGATCTGAACAAAATCAATGGGAAAATATGTATAAGAAATAATACAAAAACATTTTTTTTAAGACTCAGATTTTCAGAAGCTTAATATTAGTTCTGGATTCTTGAAACTTACCACTTCTATTTCTAGGCACTTATTACTTAAGAAGCAATCAACAAAACGCAATAGCAACTTTGTAAACAGTTTACTTTTGGAAAACAGTAATTAAAATTTTTAAATCCAGGAAAAAAATTAGGGCACTTACAGATGTCTGGGACATACTTGACTGTTGTGTGACACTTCCTGTTGGGGATGTAGATGGTCTTCCACTGGACAAACTTGCCTAAAATAATAAGATCTTTATAACAGATCTATAAGAATCTAAAGTTAAAAGCTTCTGGTACCAGGATACCACAAAACTATGATAAAAGTCAAAACGTCTGTGTTATAAACCAATCCATTTCACAGCCAACATAGATTAAGCTTTGGCCAAACAGATTAAGAGGAAAAGAAAAACCTCAATGATGAAAACTGAGGACCCAAAGGCTAATCTTATTTTAATAGCTGCACCCATTGTCAGTTTTACTCAACAGCTCTCTGTCTTCTTTGAAGTGAAACCACCCATAAGAACATTATGAAAAAGAAATTGTAGCTACATGAAGTGCCAGTGGGTTTCAGTTTCCTAACTTGTATCATGAACACGAGGTTATTTAAAAGTACACTACGAAGAAGAAGCAACAGCTGGGGATGTGTTTCTAACAGAAATAACTCTTTTTCAGTTTTAGTCAACTGAGATCCTCCCTTAGTAAGAAGATTTAAGATTAAATCTCACATATAGTTTTATTTAAATAAACAGAATAACAAAAATCTTTTTTAAAACAAGTATTTAATCATAAAATTATCCTGTTATCAGTAGGAAAAGTATGCGTGGGTATTAGAAAGCTTCATGGATACTATTTTAGATAGAAAATTTCTGGAGTGATACATATTAAACAGTGGCCACCTCTGAAGAATGAAAAACAGCAGTGAGTCAAGAAAAGGAACACCTCTACTTTACCTCTTATAATTTTATGCAGTTCAATTTTTTTAATGAATGTAAATTACTTACATTAAAAAAAAAACATTTTTCACTGAAATGTAAATGCAAGTCATGTAACCTGACGTATTCACTGTTGTACCTAGAATTTTACACACATATTCCTGACACTTGCACTGAATTTCTGCAGTGCAAATAAAAAGCAGTGGGACAAAAGCTAGCGACAGAGTACCATATAAGACATAGCCATATTTGTTTCATTAACTTCTATTTGGCCACCTATTAATTTCTTAAAGAAAAAATAATCATAGGACATTTAAGCATTCTGAAGTAACTCCCAACGTATTTGTTTTCAGTGATTATCTGCTAAGAATGTCAACTTTTCGTCGACATTGGCCTCATAAACTCTCCATTTATGGAAGTCTCACCTGAACAGCAGCAAGGCTCTGCAGCTGGGAGCTGCTCAAGTGCTGCTGCTGCAGAGCGGCCGTGTGCAGCATCAAGTGCTGCTGCTGAGCGGCATACATCTGCTGCAGGTACTGCGCGGCGGAGCTGGGCGGCCGGTGCAAGGCCTGCTGAATCACCTGCGGGCAGCCAATTGAACCAAGGTCAAACCTGGATCTTAACGTTCATCTGAACCATAAAATAAAGTATGAAAGAATAAGCAGTTGAAAATTTCACTGCTTTAATATTCAATGTCAAGTTTATGAACACAGTTCTCTCCTAGTTACACATTACTGAAATGCACTAATCTATACAAATTAAAAACCACCCAGAAGAGACAATTCACCAAAGAACAGAAGAGCCAAATGAGCACTTGAAAAGATCTTCAATCTCATCAGTAGTCAAAATTTATAAATTAAAACAAGATACTATTCAGGGCGCCTGGGTGGCTCAGTGGGTTAAGCATCTGCCTTCAGCTCGGGTCATAATCTCAGGGTTCTGGGATCAAGTCCCACATCGGGCTCTCTGCTCAGTGGAGAGCCTGCTTCCCAGCCCCCACCCCACCGCCACCGCCCCCCCACCGCCGCCAGCTGCTCTACTTGTGATCTCTCTCTGTCAAATAAATAAATAAAATCTTCAAAAAACAAACAAACAAAAAAAAACAAAACCAAGATACTATTCTCCAACTTTCAGATGAATAAAGATTTAAAAGAATACTACCACTAAATGGGAAAAAAGATATTCTCATAGTGTTAGTAAGTATGGAAACTGGTAGAACTATTTTGGATAAAACTTAGAGAATTCTGGGCTTGGGTGTAGAGAGGAATATACACAACCCTGCAGTAGTTACAAACAGTAACACAGAGGTGCCTGGGTGGCTCAGTCGGTTGAGGGTCTAACTCTTGATTTTGGCAGGTCATACATGATATCAGGGTCTAGAGACTGAGTACCATGTCGGACTCTGCACTGGGCATTGAGCCTGCTTAAGACTCTCTCCCTCTCCCCTCCCCAATTCTCTCTCTCTCAAAAAAAAAATAAAATAAAAATAGCCCTGTAGATCCATTCTGCCCAGTATAGCAGCCACTAGCCACATGTGTCTCCTGAGTACTAACCAATGTAGCTAATGTAACTAAGAAAATTAGTTTTTGATTTTACTAAATTTTAATATAAACAGCCACATATACTTCGCAGCTACTGTGTATTGAATACAGACATATCTACATTTATCGACAACACAAAAATTCCCAACATATTATTAGGTGAAAAAAGCAGATTACTAAATGGTGTATAGAGTAAGATACCATTTTTATATTAAAATATTTAAAAGAATATTCAGAAAAACATTAAAAGACTCCCGAGAGACAACTAGACTTAAGGTGATTTTTACCTTCTCATGTGTATTTTTCTTTAAATGTCTGAAAAAAAATCTGAGTAGTATTATATTAATAATCACATAAAATTATAAGGATGTTTCATGTTTTAAATTAATTACTTTTTTAAATGTTTTTTAAATGTCAGATTCCTTTCAACATAAAATAAAACTATTTTAACTAAAAAAAATTCCTGAAAAAGTGTTAATTACTGTATTTGTTAATGAAATATAAAATCTGAGCCTGAGACTTCATAAATAGATAAATGTAGGAAAGTCAAATATTCTAAAAACAGAGAAAAATCCTTTATCCTTTATCTGTCCAAACCCGTAAGTCAGACTATGCCAGTCCTCTGCAACCATGTCCCAAAGTCACATCATGCCCACAGTGACTCTTAAACAGCACAGAACCCTAACCTCAGCATCAACCACAGAGTTTTCAGAGCTAAGGGAGTAACAGAGCCATAATCCTACAGCTTGAGGTCTGAGTCAGGACACCATGAGCCATAAAGCAATGAATCTCTTTATTCAAATTCCAAGAAAACATATTTCCTTGTGTTTACATATCTTTCATGTATACATATCTCATCTTTCCAACTATAGACTGCTAAACCTGCTACAGACTCTTGTCACAAAATCAATGTAGGAGTTTGAACCTTAGTTGCAGAAGACTATAGACCAACATTAAGTGATAGAGAATTACAATAGTATGTCTTTTTGGTCAGGTAAATCTATATATGTTCTTTAAATTACATAACAAAACTAAAATCAAATTGAAATAAAAAATGAGTAATCTATTTGACACATTTTTGTCAGAGTGTAGTCATTTCTTATCATCAACATAGTCTTTCATTGTCATTCAACCACAGACTCATGGAAGAGAGACTCATTAAATACAAATTAAAAGTAAAATACACTGTTCTTATATTATTTCTCTAAAGAAATGAAAAGGGCAAAGAGTATTCACAGGAATGAAAACAAATGCTGGAAGGTATTAAAGAATTCCTTAGGTAATTCAGTAAATATTGATCTGATTACATTTTGGGGGAAACAATTATACGACTTCATAAGAACTAGTGTTAGTGCTATTTGTGAGATACATGTATATCTACACATTTCCAGTTAACACTTTATTTTTTATTAACACATCCAGCTTAGGTAGAAACTAGAGATCAAAATGGCACAGTAAAATATCACATTCCTGTGTCCCTTGCCTCAAAGAAAGGTGAAGAATATTAATAACACATTCCTCATTCCTGTCTGAACTTTTGCTGAACTGACTCAGTCTCCCAACAATTTTGATTCCACCCCATGGTAACTCAGAATCCTAAACAACAGAACTGTGAAATAGCAATGGAGTGGAGAAAGGAATATCTTGCAAACAACTAAGTTATTTCAGAGTAGAATGAAATTATGGAGATCGTAGAAAGAGTAAGCAGGTACAACAAAAAAAATAAAAACTCAGAGTGGTTAAAGGCACAACTCTAAAACCAGACAATCTACTAGCTATGTGAATTTAGGAAAAGTTATTTAGCCCATTTAAAATATCAGTCTTCCCACGTATAAAATGGAGATAATATCTATTTCACAGAGGTGTGCTGAGGATCAAAAGAGATAACCCACGTAAAGCATTCATCAAATGCTTGGCACATAGCAACTGTTCAATAAATACTAGATATTATTATTGACTGGGTATATATATTGTGCCCCACACAGTTCTAATGCTTCCTTTAATCCTCATAACTGGGGTGCCTGGGTGGCTCAGTCAATTAAGGCTCTGATTCTTGGTTTCAGCTCAGATCATGATTTCAGGGTTGTGAGACTGAGCCCCCACAACCAGCTCAATAAGCATCTGGGAGTCTGCTTAGGAGTCTCTCTCCTTCACTCCCCCTTAGCTCCTCCCCTTGCTTGAGCTCATGCACTCACACTCTCCAGCGCTCTCGCTCTTAAAATCTCTCTCTCAAAATCTTTTTTTTTTTTTAACAGATTTTTTTTTTTTAATTTATTTGACAGACAGAGATCACAAGTAGGCAGAGAAGCAGGCAGAGAGAGAGAGGAGGAAACAGGCTCCCTGGTGAGCAGAGAGCCCGATGTGGGGCTCGATCCCAGGACCCCGGGATCATGACCTGAGCTGAAGGCAGAGGCTTTAACCCACTGAGCCACCCAGAGGCCCCTCAACATCTTTTTTTTTTTTTTAAATCCTCATCATAACTAAGGAACTAGGTGGTCTTATCCTCATTTCACAGTTTCCTGATATGCAAAGAGATCACGCCCCTCATCCAACACTACATAGGTATTAATGATTAAGAAAATGGAATTCAAAGAGCGTATCAGACTTTGCATGCCCTTTTTATGCAATACCATATTGTCTCAACATCCGTTATTATAAAGATTAATTTTCTCAACCAAGTGAAGACCTAAAACTTTTCCTAGTTAAATATTCCCTTCCCCCTCGGCCCCTAGGAGCTTTAAATGGATCCTCCTACTTAGGTTCTTAGACCACTTGAGTTTTAAATGAACCTCTTAACACATCTACAGACCTGAATAGATCTTCCTAAGTCTATATTTTGGGTTCAAATACAAAGAACCCAGAAAAACCTAGAGCCACTCTACATATCAAGGCTGTAGGTTGAGTTTCCCCACATTGCAGCAGCACCTAGAGTCCTTTCAGCTATAATTTTCCTGACATATGGTTTTATAGACCACCTGCTGATAAATATAAGCCCTCTCAATAGGATTATTAAATAACTTTTTGATTGTTTCAAACACTAACAATCCTAACTGTACTCATTTAGAGAATATCATGTGACTCATCTGAGGATGTGAAACAATAGCTTCATCTGGCTTAAGAGAAAAGTAATGACATCCTAAGTCTCAGTCTACCACGCATTCTAACCGAAATACCTGTACGGCATGTCGGTCTGAGCCACTGTAGACAGAGATCTGTGGTTGCTGCATTCGAGAGGAGGAAGTGGTGATGGTGGTGGTGGTCGTGCTGCTGGTTGTTGTCGACACAGAAGATGTGCCAGGGTTTGGTTCACTATCCATAGCTGTACTGTGGTCCTTGAATCTGTCGGATAACACAAAGGATTTGCATTGGCAAAGCATTATTTCATGGGCTTTAAAGAATATTTAATTATTTCAAAGAAATAATCAGCAACAATCTAAATTTTTAAGACCCTCCCAAAATGGCATACATCGCACACAATCACCATAACCACTTAGAAAGGAAAAGTACTTCGCAAATACGTAGCATATTTGATAGTTAATACCTACTAACTTTGCATTCAAATGATTCAGGATATGCAACTTAAAAAAATCCTGGCCTAAACTTTATCTTTCCATTACTGAAAGATAAGTGAAACCAGAACAGTTTTATAAAAGAACACTAAACTACCTAAAAAACAAATGCTTAAGCAGCATCAGAGTACTTTAAAGTATTTTTTTTACGTTCTTTTGCCCATACTAATCACATATTAAAGTAATTCTTATCTATATATTAAAACAGGATGCCTAAGGACTTGTGTTAATTAGGTTATTTCTGGTTACCATATGCACTCTGCTTTAAAAACATGTTCTCTTATTAAATAATTTAAAAAATTGTTTTTTTAAGATTTTATTTTTTAAGTAATCTCCATATCTAACACGGGGCTCTAAGAGACACCTGGGTAGCTTAGTGGGTAGGGCATGTGACTCTTGACCTCAAGGTCCTCTTGAGTTTAAGCCCAACACTGGCATAAAACTTATATTAAAAAAAAAAAAAAAAAAGGTAAATTGGGGTGCCTGGGTGGCTCAGTGGGTTAAGCATCTGCCTTCGGCTAGGGTCATGATCTCAGGGGTCTGGGATCGAGCTACGCATCGGGCTCTCTGCTCAGTGGGGAGGCTGCTTCCCCGCCCTCTCTCTCTCTCTGCCTACTTGTGATCTCTGTCAAATAAATAAATAAAATCTTAAAAAAAAAAAAAAAGGTAAAAATAGTAATTTTTTATTAACTCACACTGGCTTTTCCCTTATTAGTCTATAACATTGTCCTTACTACATCTAATAACTCTGGTTACACTTATTAGCAGATTACTCTGGGAAATCAGAGAAGCACCTGACAACAATTTTCCCACTTCCCCACAAAAGTGTCTTTTCACAAAGAATTGCTCCAAATTCTGAAAACAGCACAATTATGTCACTTTCCCCACATATGAACAATAAAGTTCATAAAGTACATTTTTGTACCAGACTTTCTGATTTCTTCCCCTCCAATACTGCAAACTCACTTCACTATTGTGATATAAACTTCCACTTCACCTTGAATCTATACTTTAATTCAATCAAACAACATTGTATTTTAAGTCAATTCTGAAGCCCTCAATATTGTTAGAAAGTAGAACTACAATAGTTTTTGTAGAGTTAGAAATGCACCAGAATGGTGAAAAGCACACCTGTGAATACAACAGTCTTATCTGCCTTTCTTAACCCCTCTTTTCTTCTGAGAAACAAAATTTGACACACATCACATCAGCATCATTGACAAGAATGTAACAAGAACACTTTCTACTTCATGAAAAGACAAAGGAATTTGGCACTAATTATACATGCATACGCTATTCCCATATGGTGTCCTTTTATGTACAAATATTCTTTGTTCTTTACATCATTTATATAAATAGTATTTATATGCTCCTCAAGGAATTAAAAGTAAAAAGAAAATTCAATTTAATAAAAAGTGAAAGGAAAACAGCTGACTTCACTTTTCTGATTAGTAAATGACTCACACATCTTTATGCTTCTCTGGGTTTTGTTTTTTTTTTAATAGTTTTTCAAACTGCCTTCCAATCATCAAATCACAACATCATATGGCAACTGTTCAACATCATTCAGATTTAGTGGTAGATAAGGTAAAGTTTTTACCAAATTACTGGCTTCATAACACTTATGAAACATGTAGCAGTGACATGCAAAAAGCCAACTTAAATTCTGGTCCTTTTAGAGTGGTATTCTATGCAATCATGTGGTCAAACTCAGACCCCATGGTAGGTTTGTTCAGTAGCAAACCAAAAATGGTCACAGATACTCCAAATTCTAGGCACAAGTCTAAACATCAGTGAGTAAAACTGCCCAAACCATTGTACTGCATTTGGAGACCTGGCACAAAAGAACAATTTTGCTAACTCCACCGTGTGCGTAGTACTGTCTGCAAAATACAGCTGGCAGTCCTGGTGCCCAAGAGGCCTACCCAGGAAATACTAAGTTTGAGCAGCTAGCTAAGGATACCATCACACCACACCGCCACACAAGAATATGGCCCTCTAAGGTGGCATCAACACTGCAGCCAGAGACCCAAAGGAAATAAGGTCTTTCTTCTGGGGTGTTTTCTGCCTAGCCAGACCCGCAGGAACATTTCCCCCCACCATCCTCCGCTCCAAGGCCCGCGCTGGGACACCTCCACGCCTCCCAGGGGAGGGCGGTGAGCAGCCTCGTCTCAGGTTCTCCTACCGAGAAGCAGTGGGTTGACGCCGGGGCGGGAAGGAGGGGAGCGCGAAGGAGGCCTGGCAGTGCCCACCCAACCCTCCCCAGCCTCCGCGGGCCCCCGGCGCGGGCATCCGTGACAAGGCTGCCCTCGGGGCCCACTTGCAGGGATGACAGCGCCTGAGGAGCCCTCTGGGACTCAGCTGCCGGAAGACCCCAGCGATCGGGGTCCCTGGGGTGACTCTGCGCGCAGGGCCCGGCTGATTTGGGATCGGACCGCGGAAGGGGCGCTCCCGCCTGGAGGGAACTAGACCCTTACAGTTGGCCTCCGCCCCCCGATATGGGCCAAACGGGATCCCCAAGGATAAGGAAGCTCTTGGGTCTCCCTTTCCCTGCACTACCCGCCAGAGAGCCTTGAGCTTTCCCCTTAGGGGACATGTCGCTGCCCCACTCGCCCCCCGGTTACGACATCAGTCACCAGCAAGTCACTCACTCCGCTTCCGCCATCTTCTCTCCTCCATCACTAACACGGGCTGCGCATGCGCCCCCCGGCGGCCAGCGGAGGGGCGGGGTAGACTCAGCCCGGGGGCCTCCCAAAGTCACGTGGCGTCCTGGCTTCCAAATCCACCCTCCCACCTGAGGCCTCGCTCGCTGTGGGAAGTGACCAGGTTACCTTGTCTCCCATCAACCCCTCGCTTTCTATTGCCTAAGGTCTCACTCTCGAGAAGAGATCTGTAACCGAGATATGAAAAGTTGTGTTTAGACTGTTAAATTACATATTTAAAAAACATCTCAAATACACAAAAGCCTATGTAAATTGCAGAGAGTAAGGTGAAAGAAAATACAAGAAGACTGGATGCTTGGAGTTCAGTGGGAAAGGAAATACTGTGGTGGTGCAGGGCTTGCTAACTGGGGCTCAGTGGAACTGTGGGTCCAAACCAGCAGTTCCTCTCTCAGGCTCAAAGATAGTGTTCAGTCGCTGGTGAGGTTAAGGAATCACCCTGATTACCCTATGAGTATCATTCATGTCTGCGACAGGAATTTACTGAGCACTTGGTAGGAATTGCAAACTTGAATACGAGAGAGAAGTTTGCTAGTACGTTTTACTGTTCAGTATATATGTTAAGTCCTCTGAGCCAGAATGAGACAAAGAGGAGTATTAAAAAGTCCCTGTCTTCCAGGAAGTCCTAATTTGGAGACTGGGGAGAGTTTTGTAGAAATATCCCTGCAATATAAGTGTTCTGAAACAGATCCGTTAAGTGCTTTGGAAACCTTAAGTTCACAGAATAATAATCTTTACTACACTTAACAGAAAAAAAAAAAAAAGTGTACTGATCACAAACAATGTCTTCTTTTGGTATTTCTTAAGATGGTAGAACTGCACTAATTTCAAGACCTGAGAAATGAAGTACTGATATAAATCTATCGTGAAGTGTCATGTGGTCTAATGAAAAGTATACTTAATCTCGGAAATCTTGTGTTTCAGGCTCTCCCTAGGGTAGGGAAAAGAACACTTCCAATGTAAACTAAATTGTCGGTTTACCCCTTCCCCCCATCCCACCTCTGAGAACATGGGGTTTTTTTTAATTTTCTTTTGTTAAAAGACTTTATTTTTTAAGTGATCTCCACACCTAATGTGAGACTCAAACTTATAACCCCTAGATCAAGAGTTGCACACTATACCGACTAAACCAGCCGGGCACCCCTGAAAGTGTGGTTTCTTTACCTTATTTTCCTCTCTGAGAGCTGTGCCTTTCCTACTACTCCTAGAAGAACTCCCTGAGAAAGTCCCCTTTGAAAAGTCCCTGTAGATACTTAAAAATAAGGTATCATCACTTTTTCTTTCTTTTCTGACCTGCTCATATGGTGTCATTGTCATTTGACTCTCAAGAATCAACTGTCCATTGGTATTGCCAAAATTTCTTTTAGAGAAACGAAAGTAAAGAAAGCACAGTCCTGGGGCGCCTGGGTGGCTCAGTGGGTTAAAGCCTCTGCCTTCGGCTCAGGTCATGATCCCAGGTTCCTGGGATCGAGCCCCATGTCGGGCTCTCTGCTCCGCAGGGAGCCTGCTTCCCTTCCTCTCTCTCTGCCTGCCTCTCTGCCTAATTGTGATCTCTGTCAAATAAATAAAAAAAAAAAAAAAAGAAAAAAAAAAAAGAAAGCACAGTCCTACACCTAAAGATCAAAAATGCATAATTCCAAGGAGTGTTTGGAATAAATGGGGCAAAATTGTTCTTTTCTTGCCTCTTTTCCTTGAACATCTAAGGCCCATGTCTATATTGTCACCTGGTGAAGATTGGCTTTAAAATTCCAGATGTATGTTAGACCAGTATTGCTTTTTAGAAACATTTCCAAACTCGATAGTTATTATAACATCAACCATTTCTACAGCCTTTTACTAAGTGCAGAGGATTTTCACAAACTCTTTTACTCTTTGCAACAACCCTGTGGTATTTTGCCATCACTTCCATTTAGCACGGAAGTATAGTGAGGTGATTAGATACCCACGGTGTCTAAACCCAGACACAGGATTCTAATTTAAGCTTTCCATCTCCAAAGCCAAGTTTTTGCTGTTGTTGTTGTTGTTGTTTTCTTCACAGCAGCATTCAGCAAGCCATTGTGGGATATGTTAGAACAGGAAAAGTATGATAAGGGACTGCTCTTAAGAAATTTATCATTACTCACGGGGCACCTGGGTGGCTCAATGGGTTAAGCCTCTGCTTTCAGCACGGGTCATGATCCCAGGGTCCTGGGATCGAGCCCCACATCGGGCTCTCTGCTCGGTGGGGAGCCTGCTTCCTCCTCTCTCTGCCTGCCTCTCTGCCTACTTGTAATCTCTGTCTGTCAAATAAATAAATAAAATCTTAAAAAAAAAAAAGAAATTTATCATCACTTATCTGACCAGACAGAGGACAGTGTTTTACTTCTTTTTTTTTTTTTTTGGATTTTATTTATTTATTTGATAGAGAGAGAAGGAACACAATCAGGGGGAGTGGGAGAGGGAGAAGCAGGCTTCCCGCTGAGCAGGGAGCCCGATGTGGGGTTCGATCCCAGGACCCCGGGATCATGACAAAGCTGAAGGCAGACACTTAATGACTGAGCCACCCAGGGGCCCCCAGTGTTTTACTTCTTTATGATTTCCTAAGGAAAGGATGTATATGGCATGCTAGAAGGTTGAACTTCTTTCTAAAGTTTCCAGGAGCCATTACCTTGGAGAAGTGCTAGGATTCTCTTTGATTTTAGAAAAAACTCTCTCTAAAAAAAGAAAGAAAGAACGAACGAACCCTCTAGCTTTGTGAAGAATGGATTGGAAGAAAAGGAAAACATACAGGGCAACTAACTGAGAAACTGTATGAATCCTAAGAGAAAGGGTAAGGACTACAGGAGTGGTAGAAAGGGCTAGATTAAAATTTTAGTCCCTGGGGTGCCTGGGTGGCTCAGTGGGTTGGGCCTCTGCCTTCGGCTCGGGTAGTGGTCCCGGGGTCCTGGGATCGAGCCCCGAGTCGGGCTCTCTGCTCGGTGGGGAGCCTGCTTCCCGCTCTCTCTGCCTGCCTCTCTGCCTACTGTGATCTCTCTCTGTCTGTCAAATAAATAAATAAATAAATAAAATCTTAAAATTTTAGTTCCTTAGTTGCATGAGTCACACATCAAGTGCTCAATAGCCACATGTGGCTAGTGGCAACTATATTGTGCTGTGCAGATATAGAACATTTTTCCATCATTACAGAAAACTCTATTGGACAGAGCCAGTTTAGACTCTAGATCAGGAGTTGGCAAACTACTATTTCTGCCTTAGTCTTTGGGGCCACTTATACCAAATACCATTGACTGGGTGGCTTAAACACCAAACAGTTATTTCTCACAGTTCTGGAGGCTGGGAAGTCCATAATCAAGGTGCCAGCAGATTCAGTATCTAGTGAGAACCCTCTTCTTAGTTTTGCAGACAGCTGCCTCCTTGCTCAATCCTTATAGGGTAGCAGACATGGGGACTATAGACATTTGGGCCACTTCTTCATGTAACCCACTTGTGCCTTCACAGCCTGCTGGGCCCTTTCCATTTGGTGATGGAATGCTGCTATGCACCCCCAACTTTATGGCTTGGTAACTCAAATAACACTCAATTTGTGATAGGTGGCTCAGGTCTCATGGTAACTACGTGACCCATTGAGTCCCTACTGAGGCCCAATAGCAGGCCAAGAGCTGGTTTTCGAAAGAAAAATAGTTATATGCAGAGGATGAAAGGGCTTTTTTCCCCAAAATTCTAAGGACCTGCGCAATGATTTACCTATAGGGGCCTATCAAAAGCTCCAAACAGCATCCGCATCTACAACATACACTTCAAGCACCATTATAACGCCCAAGTGGCAAGGCAACTTGCACAGCAGCTTGGACCTGTCACCGAGCCATCTCTTGTTCTGGACCCCCTACAAAACTAGCAGCTTTAAAGGTCACTTAGTAAGTGGGATGGAGTAAAACACCCAAATGAGGAATATGTTGCCCCCAAAATCCAAGACGCCCACTAGGCATCGTGTCTCATTTTTGTTTGTAGGAGGCCAAAAGCAACAATCCGTTCTTCCCTTTAGAAGGGATATCTTGACGTGCCCCATAGCAGTGGACCCCCAGAAATGTCACTGAGGTGACAAAGTCTTTTTGGATTTATTTCCCACCTTGTTACATGGAAATGCCTTCCAAACAAGTCTAGAGTAGTTGCTACTCCTTACTTACTAAATTCTATCAGCATAACGTCATCCATGTAACCAACCAGTGTGACACCTTGTGGAAAGGAAAAGTGATCAAGATCTCTGGGAGCTTGGGGCGCCTGGGTGGCTCAGTGGGTTAAAGCCTCTGCCTTCGGCTCAGGTCATGATCCCAGGGTCCTGGGATTGAGTCCCGTATCGGGCTCTCTGCTCAGCGGGGAGCCTGCTTCCCCCTCTCTCTCTGCCTGCCTCTCTGCCTACTTGTGATCGCTCTCTCTCTGTGTCAAATAAGTAAATAAAATCTTTTTTTAAGAAAGGCTATTTCTTGTTTTGTCTTTCTTTTTTTCCCTTTATTTTATTTTTATGTTTCTTAAATTCCACATACGAGTGAAATCATGAGGTATCTCTGTCTTTCTCTGACTGACTTATTTCCCTTAGCATGATACTCTCTGGCTCCATCCATGTTGTTGCCAATGGCAAGATTTTGTTCTTTTTTATGGCTGAATAATATGCCATTGTATGTATATAAAAGTCTATTTCTTGGGGCACCTGGGTGGCTCAGTGGGTTAAAGCCTCTGCCTTCGGCTCAGGTCATGATCCCAGGGTCCTGGGATGGAGCCCCACATGGGGCTCTCTGCTCAGCAGGGAGCCTGCTTCCTCCTCTCTCTGTCTCTGCCTGCCTCTCTGCCTACTTGTGATCTCTGTCTATTAAATAAATAAATAAAATCTTTAAAAAAAAAAAAGATCTCTGGGAGCTAAGTTATGACGTAGGGCTGTAGAGTTGATGTACCCTCAAGGTAGGACAGTGAA